GAAACTTGCAGTTACGCAGCATGTGTGAACTAATATTCCACAGCTATATACTGTTTAACTGAAGATATAAGTGTTTACTTTGCCCACCAACTAGGGAGAAACATAAAGGGAACCAATCCTTGTGGGAGGAAGACAGATAACCCTTCCTAATAATTCAGATCTAAAGGATTCACCTCAAGAATATCCCAGAGCTCTACTAGTTTTGAGGGGAATCAAAGTCCATTGCTAATGACACCACACACTTTAGTATTTCTAGAGTCAGTTTATTAAAAAAAATAACATCCTTTTATTACCAGGTTGACTGGCAGTTTTCAAAAGATTTTTCTAGTGAAGTAGTGAGGGAAAGAAATTGAAAGAAAGAAAATATTTAAAAAAAACAAAAAACAGTAGTTTACAGAGCACAGAATTGCTGTGCTAAGATAATTTAAAAGTCGCCTCAGACTTCCTGGCTGACGCTAGACAAGCACTCCAGTTCTGGTACCTTCAACCCTTGATTTGACTTGGTTGGAACTCAGGGCTAATAAGACTACCAAACTGAACTAGCTTCAGGAGCTGTTGTGAAGCTCAGACCCTCTCAGAAGCTACCTCCGGGATTACTTTATGCACGTGAACGCCCCGATTTTACACTCTGGTTCCAAGGTTGAGTGTATTTCTCCATGCAGCTCCCTCCCTCCATCTTGCAGATGGAAGACATTTCCGTTCCCGGTCCCTGGTTTCCTTCCCTAAGTTTCAAATCACTCTCTGCAGAACTTGTAGGCAGCTCTGCATTCACTGCTCGACATGGTCTCTCTTATTCCCTGGGCCCTTACTTCTGCTATACTTCTTGCTGTCCTGTTTGGCTTATTTGAAACATACTCTTTAGCCAGTACCCCCCCCCCAAATTATTAGAATGTGAAAAAAATGTTTACATGAAAAAAGGATTCGATGGTGAAATATGTTTGTTGAAACTGACTTAAAGTTAAACTGCAGAGTTTCTCAGGCTTGAAGTACATAATGTTTATATCAAAGGTGAGGATGAAGTGTGGAGCATTTCCAGAATCATTTTATTGTGAAACACTGTTTTTCTCAATGGAGAATATTTTGAGAAATGATGCTCTGGATGAATGTTATGTAATATTAATTCTACCAATATGTGAAGTAAAGCCTTTTAATCTATGTTCACAGTCAGCATCTCAGCTTCATTTACCAGCTCATCATTGTAGCCATGTCAGTGGTGTGAGAGGACGGGGAGGTGGGGGTTGGGGGAGTAGGAGATTGGGCACAATTTTTCAAAGACCCTGAATTGACCCCATTATCTCCTCATTTTATAGGACTATTAGAAGACTCAGTATTTTTCTCTTCTAAGACTCCTTCTTCCTCTAAGAGTTCCTGCTAACTTCCACAGACCTTGAAATACTTGAAATTTTATAATTTTGTGCTTATAATTGAAGATCAATGGAACTTGAGTGCCATAAAAAAAGGGCTTAAGCTCTTGCTGACTCTATTTCTCAGATATTCCATTTAGTCCTGTCTAGAAAAATAGTGTTGTACAATTTTAATCTTTATAGTTGGAAACTAAATAATTTAAACACACAACGATAATAATAGCATAAAGACTTTATGAGTCAAGTTGCTCTCTTTTAAAATCTTGCCTTCCAGGATTCTAAAGATTAAATGAAATAATGTGTTTTAAGTGTTAAACATTATGCCTGTTACACAGTGACTGAGTAAATGATAGGAACTCTTTCTTTATGACCAAATCTTGATAGTCCAGTGTATTCCGATGCAAATAACAGATGGACTCTTTTGTCTAAATTGACCTACCAAGCAGAAATAAAGGCTAGTATTAGTAACATTGTATTTTTCCGAATTGGCCAAAGTGCCTAGTCATTTTGGTGACCTAGATCAAAAGTATTCAAGATAAAATGGTGTTGCTCAAAAACACATGAATTAAAGTCCTTCTTTTCATAGAGTAGTATTTTTCAGGTGGAGATTTTTCACCAATAATTCTTTGAAGATTTGTTTTTAAATGATAGTTTACATTTTCCTAACATCTAAATTTATAGGTGGAAAGTGAATGTATTATGTGCCAGTCATTAGCCAATGTACGTTGGGTAATACGATAATTCACAAAGCACGGCTCCCGAGCTGAATTTGTAAAAGAAAAAGGAGGATTAAATCAAGATCACAAATATCTAAAATGAAAGATGGCTTGGGATAAATGTTATAAACAGAGCCACCCTGTGCAGTTGACAGCTTGTACTAAAACCCTGGGTGCACATCTTGTTTCACATAGTCATCTATGTGAATGGTAAGGCCTGCAGCTGTTCAGGGTAGAGTGTGAGTGGCTGTGGATTATATCCCTGGAAAACTTGACCAAGAGCGATAAGAGTGTTGAGGAAGAATTAATATCAATCCTTCCCAAACTCTTTCAAAATATAGAAGAGGAGAGAACACTTCCAAATTCATTTTACAAAGCCAGCATTACCATGATAACAGAGCCAGATAAGGACACTGAAAGAAAAGAAAATTACAGGCCAATATTCCTAACGAACATAAATGCAAAAATCCTCAGCAAAATGTTAGCAAACTGAATTCAACAGGACATTAAAAGGATCACACACCATGATCAAGTGGGATTTATTCCTGGGATAGAAGGGTGGTTCAACATATCCCAAATACGCAAGGAAGTACTTCTACAACTCAATAGCAAAAACCCCCCAAATAACTCAATTAGAAAAATGGGCAAAGGACCCAAATAGACATTTTTCCAAAGAAGATATACAAATGGACAACATGTACACAAAAAAGTGCTCAACATTACTAATCATCTGAGAACTGCAAATCAAAACTACAATGAGATATCACCTCATACCTCTTAGAATGGTTCTTATCAAAAAGACAAGAGATAACAAAGGTGATAAGCGAGGATGTGGGGAAAAGGGAACACTTGTGCACTGTTGGTGGGAATGCAAACTGGTGCAGCCACTATAGAAAACAGTAGGGAGGTTTTACAGGAAATTAAACATAAAACTCCCATATGACCCAGCAATCTCACTTCCAGGTGTATATCCAAAGGAAATAAAATCATTACCTCAAAGAGATATCTGTATTCTCATGTTCATTGCAGCATTATTCACAATAGCCATGGTATGGAAACCAGGACCTATGTGTCTGTTGATGGATGAATGGGTAAAGAAAATGTGGTATTATACACACACACAATGGAATACTATTCAGCCATAAAATATAAGGAAACCCTGCATTTGTGACAATATGGATGAACTGGAGGGCATTATGCTAAGCGAAATAAGCCAGAAAGGGGAAGATAAATATTTCATGATATCACTTTTATGTGGAACCTAAAAGAAATGTCTAACTCACAAAAACAGAATAGAATGGTGGTTGCCAGGGGCTGGGAGGGTGAGGGATATAGAGGAAGGTTGGTAAAAGAGCACAAACTTTCAGTCATAAGATGAAAAAGGTCTAAGGATCTAATTTATACCCTGATGACTTAGTTAATAATAATATATTGTATAGTTGAAATTTGCTAAGAAAGTAGAACTTAAGTGTTCTCACCAAAAAAAAAAAAGGTAAATATGTGAGGTGATAGATGGGTTAATTAACTCAATGGTGGGAATCCTTTCACAATGTGTGCGTATACCAAATCAAACCTGTACACTTTAAATACATTACAATTTTATTTGTCAATTATACGTCAATAAAGCTGAAACAAATCAATGACTTAAAAAATAAAGATCTCAATGCAGAAAAAAGTATGCAGGGGCTCAAGATGGTATTCCTTCTCTTTCACTCTCATAAGAGGCTTTTGGATAAGTTTTTCAAACAAATTCAACAAATAAAACAAAGAGGAAGTCACGGAATACAGAGAACAGTTGAGACAAGTACAGAACCAAACAGCGAGCCAGTTCTAACGTGCAACTAGTCCAGATGGAGCAGAAGTATGAAAGTCTGAGTGAGGGAAGGCCTCAGAAGGAGGAGGAGGTGGGGGGGGAGGGGGAAGAAGGGGAAAAGAAAGAGTAGATTATCAAATGGATATGACTATTTGAAAAATGTGTTGCTGGGCATTTGACAGATCTCTTGGAATAATTTAAAAAATTAATTTTAAATGCATCAAAAATTAAACCAATAAAATAACAAAGTGGTGTTACAAGAGATAAAATGTAATAATATATATACCTGGTGTTCATTTTAACATTCACATTATAACAAAAATGTATCTGCTCTTCATTTAACAAACAAAATATGATATAATTATTTTGTGAGGACTCAGGAAAAGGAAGTGGTTCCATAACAGAAAGTCACTATATAAAAATTGAAGTAAATAACAGTAATAACAGAAAAGAAAGTTAAAAGTGATTCCCTCTGAGGAACAGGATTGTGAGGCTACTGTTTGTTTTTTTTTATGTTTTGTTTTAATACAAGCCTTTTAATAATGTTTATCTTCTTCCTCAAATGCCTACATTTGATAAAATAAAATTTTTGATAAAAATAAATTTCAAAAAAATAAAAATTCATTGAAAAATTTTATGAAACTTCAGACATATGGTCACTGTGGCTAACTGTTAGATAAATGGAACAGACAGTGCAATTAGCCATGTAAAACTCAGAGGATATACAGGCCTCGCGTCATAAAAAAAGATTTTGCAGACAATGAACAATGAGACGTTCCCTGTGGTGGGATCAAATGGTGTTGATGGGGGAGACTAGCTGTAGAGCAGGTGGTGACAGGCCTTGAATACCATGGTGAGTTGTCGAAACTTGACACTGCGGTCAATAAGAAGCTAGCTTGGGTTGTAAACAGAGGAAAAAGAAAATTAAATTTAGTTTTTGGAAAGATACCTGGCACCAAACTGGAGAAGTGAAAGAATTTTGGAATGCAGAATAATAAAGAGCTGTTGCAATAGTTTTGAGACATGATGAGGGTCACAGAGGCAGTGGAAAGAGAGACAAATCCAATTCAGGAAATATTTCTGAGATAAAATCAGTAACACTTCATGAAAAATTGGATGTGGAGAATGAGGCACATACTCTAGGGTAATTCCAAGCTTTCTAACAAGGGAAATTGAGAGGCTGCTGACCCATATAATTAAAACTAGGAAAAGTGGAAGAGAGAATTCTGCTGCTGCATATATCTGAAAGAAACAATAGAACATGTGTTTCTCCCAAGTAAGTGGCACACCCAGAGAACTGGCATGGGAAACTACTTTACAGAGTCAGAAAGTCAGATGTGCTAAAAGTAATTTTCTTTATTTCTCCATAACTGAAATCACCTTGTTCATAAGACTTCAATTCTAGTTTTAATAGAAAATATAACCTTGCTATTTTAATGTAACTCAATGGACCCAGTTAGATCTCAGTCACCTTTGGCTAACTATTTGGACTCTTTAAGGGTTTCTCCAGTTTCTTCTTCTCCTTCACTTATTACTAGAAGGGAGTGATCTGGTTTCTCGGCTCAGGATACCTAGTGAAGAAGCAGAGAGGTAGGTGGGGTGGTTTGTGAATTGTCCTGGCATTGAGAGAAGTGTGTGTGTCCATTCTATGATCTTCACATGTCCTTGCTGGCCTCAGTTTGTACCCCGCTGTATTGCTCAGTGACCTCAATCCCTAGTGCATCTGCTGCCAATGTGCATAGTCCTGCCACAGCCCCCACTTCCTAGAGTCACGTGTCAGAGTCACACATCCTCCTCTCTCCCAGTGAATGGTTGCTTCTTCGCCAGTAGCCCTCAAAGCTATTTCTAGACCTTGCTCAAAGGGTATTAGAATTCCCCAGTGTTTTCCCTACAACTTACTGGCATAGGCTGAAACTTGTAAGCCCACACTCTACACACCTCCCACAGACTTAGCAACTCTGGCACTCAGGGGCATGTTGAACTCTAGGTTTCTTCACAAAAATCAATATATATGTAGGGAAAAAAACCCACTTTTCTCTCTTAAACTGTTAGAATCATTCTTTATTTTTGTCTGATTGAATACAACTTATTTCTTAAGGATTTTTGAGCTCTTATTTATTTTAGCTATGGAATTGTCTATGGCTATCTCATGTAGTTACTAAAAATATATGTTTTCAGTTCAAAGATATTAGTTGTTAATTATTATGTTTAGGTATCATCACGGATCCATACTTATTTTTCTTTATTAATCCACTGAACTGATGTGTTTCTATTTAAATTTGTATTATATATTCTTTCTCTCTCTCTCTCTCTATATATATACATTCAAGTAAACTAGCTCTTTCAAGTAAACTGATCACTTTCAATCACATCCTTTACTGGGGATGAGAAAGTTCACGATATATGTGAACCTGACAAGTGGAAACCATGGCAAGACTATGGATATCAACAAAAATGCACTAAGGGCACTAAGGACCAAGCCTAATGGATAAGATTTAAAGGACAGATCTTCCCTTTATTGTAGGGAAGCAAAAACAAATGATGGCATACCTCTCAGATACTCCACTCATCCACTCATAATTATTTCAGGACACATCATAATTCCCCTATGTACCCATAGTGAAGGGAAAGAAATGGGGTTTTGGGGGAGAATTCAGAGCTAAGTAGTTACACAAAACAGATTATTAAAAATTAGTCATAAAGATGGTTTTCATTTTTTCAAAGAGTAGAAATAGTATGCATATTCTTCTAACCATAAGAAAATAGAAATAGGAATTAATAGCAAAATGAGATAAAACAGTCAATCCACAGCCTTCCACCTAGAAATTTAAAAGAAAACATTCCCTTAAATAATACATCAAGGTGGAAAAAAACTAAATGAGAAATGTACAGAATTTGATAATAATGTAAACTCTACATATCAAAACCTAACAGAAAAATCAGAGAAAATTAATAACTTTAATTATTCACATAAATAAAAGAAGCATAAAAATAAATAAAAATTCAACTAAAAGACTGATAAAAATAACAACAAAATCAACCAAAAGCGTAAAAGTGAAGATAAAAATAGAATTAATGAATTTAAAAAGCAACAAAACTATAGTAATTCCAAGAGTAGTTTTTGGAAAATGCCAAAAAATGTTAAAAATGTGGATGATCTAAACAATATAGATATCACAAATATATAAAATACAAATGATGGGTGAGTAATCACAGACAATTGGAAATTAAAAGAAGTATAAAATATTGTCTTGCTCAAAGTTATGCAATTATATTTGAAAGTATGCCATAAACCAATGTTACTGCAATAAACAAAAAATTAAAAAAATAAATAAATAAATAAAAATAAATTGTGTATGAAAAGAAAAAAAAAATTTTTCTACCAAAACTACCCAAGAAGAGCTAGAAAATTGAAAGATATCAACAAGTGCAGAAAAAGTATTTAAAGACCTACTTTCCCCACAAAATTACAGGCCCAAATGGAAAAATAAAAAATCCCTGTCAAAGCTTCAAAATAGGTCATTCTATATTATTTATACCATTTCTGAGTACTGCAAAAAAGGGAAGCTTTCACATTTTTTCATAAATCCAGTATAATATTGGCATGAAAAGCTATTAAAATATAGAAAAATGTTTTATTCTATAAAAATTTAGAAAGTTCTGCATGAAATCACTGCCAAGAACAATTACATAAAACTGCAAAAAAGGAGATTTTTAATAGATATTCTAGAAAAATAGCTAATATATTTAATAATCAAAGAGGTTATTTAAAAATGGAAGCAAAATGTCAATAACCAAATAGGAAAACAGATAAACATTTCAAATTATTTTAATGTTAAAAACCACCCACAAGATGAGATATAAAAATTAATCTAAAATGGGATATCATTTTTCTCTAATCAAACACACAAAAAATAAAAATTCTTGATAAAAAATAATATTTTGGTCAGGGTATGTATGTAGATTGGAGATAAATTAAGCAATATCCATTAAAATTTTAAATGTACTTCCTTTTTGACTTAATAATTTTACTTCTATACATTCAACCTGTAGATTAATGCACGGCATGCATTTCAACATTCATTTTAGCATTTTTATAGTAACAAAAATCAGAAACAACTGAATTGTCCATCAATAGGTTAAAGTATGTATATCCATGTAACTGTGTACATTTTTATATTCATTAAAAGCAGCGAGTCAAGTCTGTGTTTATTGATATGGACTGATTTCCAAAATATATCAAGTGAGAAAAAGCAAGATGCAGAACAGTGCACACATGTCATCATTTGTGCCCTAAATGGACAACACACATATATACAGGTTTTTATTTGTATTGAATGTCTGTGGGAGGACACACAAGTAACTGTCAAGAATCATTGTCTTTGAGGAATTACGTTGTATTGATTGCATTTGGTTCTCAATATGTGTATGAATTATTTATTAAATAAAGAGAGAAGAAAAGAAGAGGAAGGAAAGAAAGAAGAAAGGAATGAAAGAAGGAAGGAAGGACGGGAGGAAGGGAGGGAGCAAGGGAGAAAGGAAAGAAGTGGCCATTGGAGGAAGATAATGAGTTAAGTTTTAGACCAGTTAAATATGTGCTATTTGCAGGACCTCCAGGGATGAATTTTCAGTAAGCAGATGGAATTCCAGTCTAGAGGATGAGAAAGAGGAAGAAACTAGAGTTAAAAAATTAATGATTGTTCAATCTGCAGCAGAATTGGGAGAAATGAATAAGGTCATCTTGAGAGACAGAATAGAAATATGAAGAGAAGAATTGTGAGAAACACAATATGTACTTAACAAGCAAGAGAGGCCAATGAACATCACAGAGGAGTACCCAGAGGAAGGGCAACAACAGAAACAGGGGAGGAAGTTTCAAGAAGAAAACCCACACCTTCCACATGTTTTAATGCCACTGAAATAACCACATGGTGTATTGTGTGAATAGTGACTGCAACTCAGAACAGAAATTCTTTTGTTCTTTTACCTTAAACGAGACTCTAGTACATCTATGCTTATGTGCAGATATAAAATACTACATTTTGAATTGGTAAGTAGACTGTATCCCTACTTAGGATAATTATTATTTTTGCTTCGTAGGAGACTAACAACAAGTCCTACAAAAACCTAGTGTTGAATCTCATGAATCAAAGGGTGAATAAATATACGTCATTTGACATATTGGAGGCAATCAGTAAGGAGCTGTCGAATAAATGTTGAATAAGCACAATCACTGCCAGGCTCAACATACAAAATGTTAATGGTTTAATAATTATAATATGTTCTGCAGCCATAAATTAAATCAAGCAACTATTAAATTGAGAAGTAATCAGCTATAAGAGAGAGAGTTCCATTTATATCTTTTCTTCTCCCTAATTGTAAGCAGTGAATTTAAGATGCATGCTAATTTTCCAGCTGTGGTGCAGGGAAGGGATGGAGAAGGGGAAAGGGAAGAGGGGAGGAGGAGGGGGCTGTTGGGCATGCATCACTACCATTGTGATGCACACTATGACACACATGTGATGGCGCAGTTCACAAGGAAAGAATAGACATGAAAATAAATATGTTGTAATTACTATGTTAAAAGTGATTTAAGACGGCATTTAAATAATAAGTAACTATTATAAAGGAGGCACTCTGGAAGACATTTTGGTAGTTTCTTTCAAAAGGAAACATACCCTTACCATATGACCCAGTAATCACACTCCTATGTATTTTAACTGAAAACTTATGTCCATACACAAACCTGTACATGAATGTTTATAGCCGCTTTATGTATAATTGTCAAAATTTGGGAACAACCAAGAGATCTTTCACTAGGTGACCAGGACAATCTTATCAAGGACATAAGAGCCTCCCCTTGAAATGTAATCATTAAGAAAGGCAGCAATCTTGGGGCCGGCCTGGTGGCATAGCGGTTAAGTTAGTGTTCTGCTTCCGCAGACTGGGGCTTTGCCAGTTGGGATCCTGGGGGCGGACCTACTCATGGCTCATCAAGCCATGTTGAGGCAGCGTCCCAGATAGAAGAGCTACAACTCTACAACTAAGATACACAACTATGTACTGGGGCTTTGTGGAGAAAAAAGAAGATTGGCAACAGATGTTAGCGCAGGGCCAATTTCCCTCACACACACACACAAAAAAAATGAAAGAAAGACAGCAATCAAACCAAAATACTTTGAATGCTTAGAACCTGACATCATTGTTGAGCCTCTAAGTGTGAAAAGAATACATTTCTTCTCTGCATGTTTTTAGGCAATTTTAAGAAATATTTGTTCTTTTACTTATCTATTAGTTTTTTTTGGTTAGAATTTGATTTTGGGCAGTTAAGATACTTTACATATCAAGTAGAGGTGGACGCAAATGTTTTGTATGAAAATGCTTCTTTTAATATACTTCCTTTTTATCACTGTTTTTATTCTTATATAACCAAAATACACCACGGGTCACAGGTTCTGACAAGGCCACGGTCCATTGATAGCTTCCCCCAACGATGCCACTGTGAATTCACCCAGTAGTTGATTAGCTTTCCAGTTTTAGAACCCATATTAGCTGTGCTGAAAGTTAGAAGAGATCTTGAACTTGTGTGTTTGATGCAGTGGGACTTCAGTGAAACATGACTTCCTCAGAGGGGAAAATGGCTTTTGACCATAAGATAACTCTTACCAAAGTTTTGATGAGTTAAGTGTAAATGAATCAGAAACATACATATTATATTTCTCTTGAAATATACAAGGATTTAAAAATTAAGGAGAAAACGGCTTGGCAAAATGTGTTGTAAGAGGATTTGCTAAACCTGAGACATTTGAAAAAATAGTCTGAATATTTTCAGAATTCTAACTGCCACCAGTTTTGCCTATCCCTAATTTTTATAGTTTGACGTTTAATGGTGGAATCTGGTGGAATAGGATCGAAAATTCTGGGGGAAATAGGTTACTACCTAATTGCCATTTATTCAGCACTGTGTTTACTGTAATTAGTTTTCTAATACACTTCAAATCTACATTCAGAGCAAAACATATTCTATTCCAACCTGGGTTCCATGCTGCCTCCTCCACTTACTAGCTGTTTGACTTTGAGCAAGTAACTTAACCTCTCTGGGCCTCAGATTCTTTATATTTAAAAAGAACCTTATTACATAATATTACCTGCATACATAATATCTTTAAGAACCTTCAGCAGTACCAGGGACATAGAAAGTACTCAATAAATATTAACTATTATTAGACAGTACAACTGCTTTGGTTACTGAAGACAAACCACTTATAAATAACTTTGCTTCCCCAATCCCTAGCGGAATCAGAGGAATTAAACATCCTGACTCTAGTTATGGTATTTGGCTTCAAGCCCCTACCCAGTTGTGTTTCTGAATTCTCCAGTTCCTTCTCTCCTCTATATACTTCTCCTGTGAGCTTGCTCTTACATTCCATCTACAGAGAAGGGATTGTGATCACTACTTCTGTGAGGGCAGCTGGGACCAGGTTCTACTCCTCTACTCCTGCTGTCCTATGGTTTACAACACTGTAGTAACTCCGTTCTTGGTTCCTTCTAGTGCTGTCTCTGGGTAAGACAGGTGCCATCACAAGACCTCCCCGAGCTCCTGCATATACCACCCCCCCAACCCTTGACATCACCAGTAGAAGCATCAATACTAGAAAGAAGGGCAAAGTCTCATCCTGAGGTGGTAGTTTTTCCCTGAGATGGTGCTCAGAACTGATCTTTTGTCATTCGTGCATATGTTCATTAAATATTTATTGAGGATATAATAAATGATTTGATCTATTATAAGAACCATGTTTTATGAAAGACAGGTAAGTTAACTTACCCTTGTCATTCAGAAATGTGCAATCTAGCTGAGGAGACAATGCATCCATAAATCACGATGTGATAGAGCAGACTACTTTTAAAGGGTGAACTGAGTGAAACAGGGATGTAGGAGAGGATAGTGAAGGCTGAGAGCTTGCTGCAAGCTAAAGAGGTCCAGGAAGGCTCATGGAAGAGGTGGGACTTGAGAGCTAAATCCTGTGATGTTAGACAGTTATTAAACAGATTGAGGGAGAAGGCGAGGGCATTCTGAGAACCCAGAAGAAACAAGCTGAGAATAAAGGGAAGGAATTCACAAGGGACAGTAATGAAACACAGCTGGCTGGAAAGTGAGCATGGTAATAAAGTGCAGGCTAATGTTTTTGAAGATGGTCTGCTTATGGTGAATACATAAAACATAAATCATACTTGAAGTGTATACAGTCTTAAATGAAGCTATTGACTGGTGTTGAATGAATAAGAACACCCAACGTAAACTGGAACACTGGAAGTGTCCAGACTTGTGTCGCCGTTTCTCTTGGTAAGATCCAACAGCTGGTGGATCCTGAATTTAAAGCATCCTGTGTCTTATCAATGACATCAAGTAATGTATTTGGATGGACTGCAATAACCTGATGAGTTGACTGGTCAGCACATCCAGCTGCCTTCCTAGCGTGTCCTGAGTGAAAATACTCACCACGCCCCGCTCCTCTCCTCTTCCTCCCTCCTCCTCCTTCTCTTCCCCCCTCCTCTTTTCTTGTAGGCCCTAACATTCTTCTTTCATTCTTAGTTCATCAAATTTATTATTATTTTTATTTTTTTTGTGAGGAAGATTAGCCCTGAGCTCACATTTGTTGCCAATCCTCCTCTTTTTGCTGAGGAAGATTGGCCCTGGGCTAACATCTGTGCCCATCTTCCTCACTTTATATGTGAGATGCCACCACAGCATGGCTTGATAAGCAGTGTGTAGGTCTGTGCCTGGGATCTGAACCCACAGACCCCAGACCTCCAAAGCGGAGCACACGAGCTTAACCACTATGCCATGGGGCCGGCCCCCTCATCAACTTTATTTTTATAAACAAGAAACAAATGGAACTACAACTTATATTGCAAACTATGTATCTGAGTTTATCTGCCATCATGTTGCACGTTCTATTATATTTCAGATCATTACAAGCCATTTGTGCCCCTTCCCTCATATCCAGAGAGTGCTGAGCGCTGTGAAATCAGGGGCAAGGAAATATAACCTGCGTGATTGTATAATGAGTTTCCCACCAACCCTTCAACACATACGCATACACACACAGTACGTATTCATTATTCATTCCATAAATACTTATCAGGCACTTTCTAGGCACCAAGAATGCAGCAGTGAACAAAACAAAGAAACTCTTGGAAATTTCATTCCAGAAGAGGAGGGAGAACAGAAATGAATGTGGTGATATCATTTGTCTTGTGACAGAAAGTATTATGAAGAAAAATAAAGCAGGAGAAGGTAGGGATGGTCACCATCAAACACTACACGACCACTACACTGCTGTTCCTAATTTAGAGGATAATTTTGTGTCTCTACCAATCCAGAGGCTTTCGTCTCACCCAGAGATAGGACTGGAAAAGAGTCTATATGAGTGACTCAAGTTCAAATTTTTTCTTTTCTATGAATGATGAAACTCCAGTTCACAACAGCAAATAAGTATTTTAGGTCTACTTGAACTCAGGAATATGTATATTCCTAGTGGAATGTAAATACTCAAGAGTCTTAACTTTGGTGGTCTGAGAGTCTGACCATTGACCTCAACTCCCCTGACATTTTTCACGTATGCTACCCTGGTGTCGTGTACAAACAAAACTCCAAATGACCAGCTGACATGCCGTAGTTCCCAAGTTCACACACACTCTGAATCGTGACTCCCTCCTGCTCCTGCCTCCTAGACCTCAAATACAGAGAAGACGCAAAAACGACCCTTGGCCCCTTCACTCCTGGTTTCCAACATGACTCTCAAAGCCTATGAAAATGAATCTCTATTTAATTATTTCATATAGTTTCAAGAAGTTAGCTCATTTGAATTAAATTTTTATGGATCTCTGCTTATCAGGACAAAATCAAGTCAAGAATTTCACAAACATATGTGGTTAAATACAGGGAGAGAGTAAGTGACAAAATTGACGAAGGTCACTTGATATTGTTAATATTTCTAGGAGAAAAAAATCTGATTTTGTTAATGAAGAAATGATATATAGCAATTCATTTAAACTGCTTTTTTAATTCTAGAGAGATACATCATTTTTTAATTTTTTGTTTATTGCAGTAACATTGGTTTATAACATTGTAAAAATTTCAGGTGTACATCATTGGACTTCTATTTCTGCATAGATTACAT